AAGGGTCTTGTTGATGTCTACAGGAAGACATTGGCATCTGATGGTGTTGCTGGTCTCTACCGTGGATTTAACCTCTCATGTGTTGGAATCATTGTGTATCGTGGTCTGTATTTTGGATTGTATGATTCCATCAAGCCAGTTGTCCTCACTGGATCATTGCAGGTTGGTGCTATGTCCTTATTACTGCTATTTGTGATATTCAGTTGAATCATATATTTGCTAGTCTGTCATGCTTTCATTTCATATGTTTCTATTTTAATGTGTGTTGTAGTCAGTGGTGATATATGTTGTGTTGTGTTATTAACCATTTGAGTTTCATGTCACTGGGAACGGACGAAGTGACTTTTTCTTGGGAAATGACACGTAACTTTAGTTACCAAACAATCCTTGTTATTAAAGTGAGATGCTTTAGTCAGTCTATTCTTTGAATTCAATGACTAAAATGTCCTTTATTTGTAGTAAATATATTTTGTATGAACACTATCAAGTAATTTTAAAATGTCAATATTCTAAATGAGAGTTAATTTTAAGGAAGAAAAACAAATATAACCATTTATATTTCAAATAATAAAGTTGTTTATGATGTATTAATGTTTTGGCATCAATAAAAGGTTCTTGAAACTTTTATGTAGTGAAGTCTAATGCAATTTCCCTTGTATGGATTATAGGATAGCTTTTTCGCCAGCTTTGCCCTGGGATGGCTCATCACCAATGGTGCAGGTCTTGCATCATACCCAATTGACACTGTGAGAAGAAGAATGATGATGACCTCTGGTGAAGCAGTGAAGTACAAGAATTCCTTGGATGCATTCCAACAAATCGTCAAGAAAGAGGGTACCAAGTCCTTGTTCAAGGGTGCTGGTGCCAACATCCTCAGAGCTGTTGCAGGTGCTGGTGTGCTTGCCGGGTATGACAAGTTGCAGGTTCTTGTGTTCGGCAAGAAGTATGGTTCTGGTGGTGCCTAAGAGTTCCTTGGTGGTGCTCAAAGAGTCTTTTTTTGTTCTAGATGGCGATGAAAAATCTTTCAGTTCTGAGAGTTTAGACTAATTGCAGCCGCAAATTTTGTTTAATAAATTTACTAGATGATGGGACATTGTCCCAGAAACCCTTTTCATATTTCATGGTGGAGATTTTACATCAGAAAAAAAAAGTATGATTTATTAGTGGCGGGGTAAGAGGCTGTCACTTGGAATTCCATTTTCTTTATATGATTTTAAAATATGTGATACATGTTCAAGGTTCTTTTTAAGAATAAAGTGCAGATGAAATTTCTGCTTTAATGATTATTGATATTGGTGAAAAGTAAGCTTAGTTATACCAGTATTATTTGGATTCTGCATTTTACTTTTGCTTTTCCTATTATATATTGACATTTAGTTACAAAAATGTGGCAATTTATTACTAAATAAGCAGCATATTGCATCTTTGTTTGGGCAAGCGAATAAAGTAACTATTGGTATAATTGGTAACTTGAAAATTCTCCGAAGAATATGTTGAATAATATGCTTTGCTTGTGGGATATGACTAAGGTGCATAAATGGCCCTTTTTGTTTGGTTTATTCATGTTTAGAAAATTGTAAAGTACCAAATCACATATGTTTTAATCTTTTACTCTTGTTCCAAAATTACTTTCAGATTATTTGTTATACCAGATTATATATATTGTCTATATCCCTGTATATATATAGAATAAAATATATTAGACTAAATAAGGTAATAAATATTATTTTATACTATTTTTAAAAACTTAATGCATTGTAACATCTATGGTGAAAGATTGTACTTGAGGATATGTCCTTTTGTTATGATCGTATCTGGTAGCAACCGTGTTTTGAAGACTTGTAAAAGATCCTGCAAGCATGAAAAACGCAACTGAGGTAACAATTGCTTTCATATTTTACATTCGATTTTTTAGACACTTTGGGTTATAACATCTTTTTGGTTATGTTTTGGTAGAGACTATAAATCTGAAGAGCTTAACGCTTAAAATAATACTTTGAGATGATTATCTTAAAACTAAGTAGAAAAATACTTTAGTTTTTAGTCCAAAGTAATTTCTAGCAATATTTGTGGTAAAATTATTTTCAGTGGACTTTTAAGTTTTTCAACAATTCAACGTAATTTTGTGTTGATAAAACTGTTTGGCATTTTTCTTTTCTTTCTTTTACTCTTCAATTTTTTTAAAAAAATATATCTTCAGAAAAATAAAAATTTGTAAGTGTAAACAATTTTCAAAACATAATTCAATATCATCTTTTTAAGCTAACACATTGGGTATAATATTTATCTTTTATTTATATTTTTTTATTGAAACAAGGAAAAACAATTTATTTCTTTATTTTTTTATTATGATGTTGTAGTGAAATATCTTTCAATAATTATTCTGTACCTAACAAATTAATTGACTGCTTTTGCTAAGATTTTTCTTTCCTATAAAGTTTTTTCTTACGAGGATCCAATTGAAACTTTAATTAGAAAAGTAAACTTAATTGTATCCCAACTCGACCTAACATTGATTTTTCAATATAGATAACTAAATCAACAAATAAAAGTCATGTTAACATTAAAATAAAAATAGTTTAAAATATTTTTTGACTTTTCTTATAGTGGCTATATTAATTATCCTCTTATGATTTTGATAACATTACGAGAATATATTTCTACTAGGATTCTTTTCTGTGTCATGTGATCTTATGAAAAAATCATTCTTAAACTTATCAAATCTTATTATTTGTGACACCTTCATGTTTTTAAGGTTTTTCTTTTAGTTTTATTTTCAATTCCAAATTTTTAAATTGATTCAATTCCTAATCCTTACATTCCCAAAATTGTGTTTCAATTTTATATGGAATCATATGAAAGTAAATGAACGAAATTTAGAGTTTATTAAGTGGTATAGAAAATTCATATACTTCAATTACATTCTAGAGGTTTTTGAATTTTAATAGATTTTGTGCTGATCAAATTCCTAAAGGATTTTTATGTGACCCTTTTGAATTGAGAATTCATTTGAAATGAAATTTTAACAATCAAGTTATAATATTATTAAATTTGAATTCAATGATTGAATGTTGTCAACTTTCTCTTAATTCTTTTATGTTTTAGATTTTTTTTTATTTTATTTTAAGTTATGAGTTTGGACACAATGTCTAAACCCAATAAATAAATCTCAATCTAGATTAAGTTAATTTTCTGCATTTTATTCTTAATTAGTTTTGGATTGACTTGGACCAACTAGATCATAAGTTTTGAAAAATATTATTTTTTATTGTTATAAAATTTGCAATTTTCAGACAATGTTTTTAGATTTTGTAGAGTAATATTTTTAAAAGTAAATTATATATTTTTTGTAATTAAAACTAAACAAACATTATAGTTACAAATCAAGTATCAAAGCTCGAGTAAATTAAAAATTAAAAATTGAACAAAATACTTGGTTTAACCATTTTCTATTGTTATATTATCATTATTCATTCTCCAACTTAATAAATCACATCACTCACTCAAAAAGGGAAACTAATTAGTATCTTTATCATCTTCATTTCAAACTAGGAAACTCCATTGAATCTAAGAAGTTGAAGTTGAAGCACTTTGGAATAGTTTAGCTGCCACTTTAATGATCCACATATTCTACTTTGCTTAATTTTGACCAGCTTTTGAAGCTCCCACTCAAATGTGTTTCCAAATACAATTTTCTGAGCAAAAGCAAGAACAATTCCTTGCTTGCAACCAAGGTCTTCTCTGCTTCCTGAATCTTGTAACATTGAGTCAGACATTGTGATGAAGTTACTCTAAAGTTTGAAAGGCCATCACTTTCTTGCAGGATTCCTAATCATGTTTAAAAAATGAGAACATGAGTGGCTTTCAATGCAAACATTTGTTGTTTTAAATATTACTTTAACTAGTTATTATCAGTTTTCTTGTTGTAATGATTGGTTGACACATCTAATTTTTTTACATTCATTTAACACTATCTTTTTTTATTTTACTTTTTTTTTTCTTGAAAAAATACAAAAATTTACACTTTAATGATTATTTTACCCTTGTGTTCTTTGTTAAATAAATATAAAAATGTGTCATGATATCATTACTCGTACTATCAAATATATTTTCAGCTTTTAAATTTTAACACAGAATTTTTTTTAAATTATGATATTAGTTTCTGTTTGTGTCACATCTATATGTATAATGGTTAATCTTAATATATTACTTGAAAATTTTGGATAAGAAGAATAGCATCTATTATGAGATTGATAAAATCATCTCTTTCTTAAGCTTCTCATTGAAGATATTTTTATCACCATCGAAGATATTTTTATCACAGTAGTTTTATGTCACTTACTCTTTGTTCACTTGAATGAAATTGGAGGAGAGTGATAGATTAAAAAAATTTACTTCCAAATCCACCCTCACCTACCTCTAAATTGACTCAAATAAATAACAAAAAAAATTTATTTTCAAATCCTCTCAAATCCATTCAATCAGTGTCCCCACATCTATTTAAGTGAACAAAACCTTAAGAATTGAGGTAAAAAACAATTTTTTTCCACTGTTTGAAACGTTTTTTAATAATAAAATCATAACAAAATTCTATGATTCAAAATAGATAACTTAAGATGATGAAAGTTTAATTCGTTTCAAGCTCAAATATTAATTTAGAATGATGTTTAATTCCTAAGCAAAATTTAATATTATTAGGTTACAAAAATTATATTTATTTATTTTTAAAATTTAAAATTAGACCACTTCCAAAATTTTGAATAAAAAACACTTCTAAATTTTAGTACTACAAATATATTTAATATATTATTTTTATCACACAATATTTTATAATATTCATTTATTGCTATTTCTCACTCTTCTTTTTCTTTCACCTCTTTCTTTTTTCTGCCTTTTCTTCATCCTCCAATGCAGTTCCCTTCTGGCTTCTCTAATTCTGTTCCAAGGTCAGTTCTCGCACCCAAACATCTCTTATTCCCTGTTTGCCTCTCAATAATCTCATCCAAACGCGATTTTAGTTATCGCCATTCTCCTTTTTTCTCTCCCTTTATTGAAAGGTGGTGTGAATTTGTGATGAGAGGTTGTGCTTGGTGATGTGTGATTAGGGTGTGTTATGCAGTAATTTTGTTGTCATAGTGAGGTGGTGATTGCATTGAACTTTCAAAATGAATGATGGTAGGCAAATGGAGTTGCAGTATGTAGATACTGGGTTTCCCTATACTGTTTCTGAAAGCTTCATGGATTTCTTCCAATGCCTCACCACGCACTTGCCTGTCAATTACGCTCACGCTGGCTCAGTGCTCGATCAGGTTTTGTTTTTACTGCTTCTGAATTTTTGTTGTTGAACATAACATTTTTAGAGAAGAACTCATGATATTAGTGTGGTTTGGAGCTTTTAGGTTCATACTATTCAATTAGTTGGGAATTGTTGTTGCAGGGATTCATTCATTTTTTTCTTGTCCCGTATCGCACACTGTTTTTGTTGGGTTGGGAATGTCTCCCTCTACTAATGATACGGTTCAAATATATAACATTGAATCAACACTTGAAAATAAGTTAGACCTAAACTCAACTTTGATAGTATTTAAGCTGATATTAGTTATGGCTGTTGGAGTTACTGAGTTGCGTGCTGTGGATCATTATCATAACAGTGAAAGATGTTTGTTCTTGTAAACTTTACGCTTGGAGTGTGTTGCATTGCAGATCACCCACTGATAAATAATATTGACAAAATAGGGCTGAGTTTGATTTAAATCCAAATCCTGATACTAATGTCACCAAAAGAATGAAACTAAAAGAGTATATTTCTAGTGAGATCAAGTAGCAGTACAAATGTTACAGTGAAAGTGTCACAAGAATGCCTCCCTTTAATCCGTTTGTACCTTCAATGTGAAATTAGTGTTTTTCTTTTGAGAAGGAATATGACATTAGTCTTATTTGTTAGTATATCGAACCTCTCCTATCCTATTTGACTTGGCATCCCCTTTCGGAAAAAAAATATAGTAAATAAAAAATTTGCATTGTCTTATTTTGTCATCTTTTCCTATTTGGCTAAGGGTCTTATTAATGTACTATAAATAATTGATCAAGAAAATCCAAATAGAGAATTCTTATTGAAATTGACATTGTAAATATTTAGAAAATTATAATTAAAAACTCATTAATGACATTTTTTGAAGAGAATTTTCTATTTTAAATTCTGAGCTTTACTGGTTAGCATGTGTCTTTACACAGTTTTATATGCTTTTTCTCAATTAAACACCGATAATGACATGTCTGGTCTTATACTGTCTGTCCAGGAAAGTATCTACTGGTCAATGAACATGAACCCTTACAAGTTTGGATTGTCTGGCCCAGTAACTACAAGCTATTATGGTTCTTACGAGATAAATGATCATTTTCCAAGAATGGAGATGGATAGGAGAGAGTGGGAATACCCTTCAACAATAGTCGTGGATGAACCTACTCCAACTGACTCTCCATCTGGAAGAGATGGAGTCACAAGCATGCAGACCATCCCAGAAGAATGTTAGTTGAAACTGTATTTTCTTTTGTAGTCTATGGTAACACATACATTTGCAGTTTTTTGTTTTTGGGATCAAAGACAAATTTACAACTATTTAATAGTGTCATGTTAGCATCAAATTATTGCCTGTGTTGTGAAAAGTGTTGGAAAAGCAAAGACAAGAACTCGTAATTTTCTTTGAAGACTTAGATATCTTATGGTTATATTTAGGAATGATGCGTTTCTTACAATAATGTGTTAACCTCTTAAGCTTGTTTTTCAGGCAGTCCAAATCATCAAGAATCCAGTAGTAGCCAGGTAGGAGGCTTTATTTTTAAGAAGTCCTATTTGAATGTCTCAAACTTAATTCTTGGTTTAACATGTAATTAACAGGCTTCGGTTTAAAAACTATTTCCTATACGGGAGATATACCATTTAAATCATGGTTTGGCTGAATACAGTATACTTTCATCATAAATTGGGCCTGCTTGCACTTATTTATTGCAGTAGTTATCTTTGTTAGTTTAATCCCAACCTTGTGGAACTGAAATTGAGCTATGCTATCCAATTTATACTACATTAGAGATTAGGTATAGGACTCTGTTTTAACTTATAAGGTACTTTGGGAAATCAGAATTATAACCTTGACACCCAGACTGGTATTTCAGTTATATCCATCATTATTGTCATATAAAAATAAGACAAATAATTTTTTTTGAATTTGTAATTCTACACGATTCAGAATTTCACACATCAAATTGGGCTTCTTTGTTGCATGCACGTCCTTTTCCTATGTGGCCTTTACTTGACCTCCCCTATACCACCTTTCTCATGTATCCGAGTCCTAAGTAGCTCAATAGGTGTTGCTCAGAAATAAGTGGTGTTTGCAAATTTTTGCATATCTCTACTTTATTCACGGTTATTAGAAAATCCTTTACATTTGTCAGTTCAGACCAGGTTTTGTCCAGAAAACACTTGTGGTAATACTAGTTAGCAAAGAAACTACATTAATGGAACGAATATAATTTATGCAGATTAACCATGACTGTTAGCATCCTCCATTTTTCTACCAAATGGACTATAGCAGGGTACTCTTGCATCAAAGCTGTTCTTCTGATTCACCGAAACTAATTTTCTTTGTTAAAAAAATGCAAATTATAATTTGTGAAATGAATATTGAATTGCTTGAACTAATTTTATGTAATGACTGCGTTATGTTGGTATACGAAGGTGGCAATAAGGTTCCAATCCATTATTTGCGATGTAGGTCATGTGGCAAGACAACATTGATCCCGATAATATGACATATGAGGTGAGATGCACTGCTAAATGTATATACTATATTCTCAAGCGTTATATCAGGTTAAGAAATATCTTACTAAGAAAAGCATTTAATATTTTGAAATGTTAAGGCCGAAGACGAGACAAAGTTGACATGTATCTGTCACAGTAAAAAATGTGTTTCTGTACTTGGTTATTTCTACTTTGATTTTGGTATTGTTAATTCATTTTCATGTGATCTTTTGATGTGAGGCAACAGGGACAGTGAATTTATCATCTGTTTTAGGATTAAATATGTTTTGAAGTCCTTAAACTTTATGCAAAATTAGAATTCATCTCTATCCCATACTTTGTTATAATTTGGTTTTCAAACTTTAAAAAGGAATGGATATAGTCCTTCTAACCCAATTTCATTAAAAATTTGTGTCAAGCGTATTTTGGACTGCTGTTTGACTTATTTATACTGTTTGACAAATTTTATGTTAAATGTCCTCATGGATAGTTATTTAACATGTAAAAAAAATTAACATAGTTGGATTAAAATGACTATATCCATTAATTTTTGAAGTTTGGAGATCAAAATGTTTCAAAATTTTAGATAGGGACGAATTGCAATTTCACGTCTAAGTTTAAGGATTAAAAATATGTTTAACCCTATGTTTTATATAGATGACGTGTGATTGGTTATATTTTTACTCATTTTGTATTGATGTCTTAAACATTGGTTGTTGTATAAAGCTCTTCTTTCCTAGCTCAACAAGAAAATGCGATTACAAGGGATTTGAAGTAATAAACAAAAAAAAAAGAAAATAGGTGTTACCTATAATTCAGAATGTTTGGATTATAGAAAGAGCCCCTTCCAAGTAAAGGCACGTTTTCCTTAGTTGAATAGGCAGAATTATTAACAAATTTTAACATTTTGAACTTCAATTATGTTGTGTAATGTTTGGGTAGTAGTACTAGAAGACTTTTGAAACCATAAGGTTTGGGTGGCCAAAAATACTATCTAATGTGGCAGGAACTACTGGACCTGGGTGAGGCAGTGGGAACTCATAATCGCGGTCTTTCCCAAGAACTTATTGATACACTTCCAACCTCAAAGTACAACTTTGGGAGCTTATTCAAAAGAAAAAGTTCTGCTAAAAGGTAACATTGTATTGTGATTCATACTCTTGTTTTTGTTTTTTTGGTTGAAATAAGTTCGAAGCAATAATTGTTTTATTGAGATGAAGGAAGAATCAAATGGAATATCAACTATTTAAGAGACTGAGGAGAATATAGGCGGATAATGAAAATTAGAATATTTAACTTAATGTTTAAGCTCATCCAATCCATGTATTGATTAAGGGAACTAGTAACATTTTTTTCACTGTTTAAGGAATTAAAAAAATAAACACTGGCATGTCGAGAAGTATGTTTTCTTATTCTTTTTAATGTACTTCCATATAGTTCTCAATAACCTTTTTCTTTTAATTCCTTAACAAGTGCCTGAAAACAGGCACATTGCAAAGTAATAAGGAAAAGTGATGTTACTATTGGGGCATCAAATCACACATTATTGTTGCCAGGATAATTTTGGTGATTGCAATATCACCATCTTTCATTACAATTGATAGTCAAAGACAAGAGGAACATTGATCTTTTTCATCAGCAATTCTTCACTCTGCTTGAATGTAATTTTTTTTTTCATAGTCTACATAAGATGTATTAGATCGTACAATTATTCAGGACCCAAAACAAGATATATTAATTGCCATTACTTTTCTTGTTGTGTCTCTTCTCCCCTTCTTGGGTGGTCAATATTTTATCTTGATCTAAATGCTTGGAAAATAGGTGTGTGATTTGTCAGATGTCTTATAGAAGAGGTGACCAGCAAATAAAATTACCATGCAACCATGTTTACCACAGTGAATGCATAACAAGATGGCTTAACATCAGCAAGGTCAGTTAATGTGCTATTCTGAATTTTATGCCTACACCTTATATTTGTCTCTTTGTCAGCATCTCATTTTACCCTGTCTTTTTTCAGAAGTGCCCAGTTTGTAACATTGAGGTATTTGGTGAGGATTAATCTAATTAGCATCAACATGAAAAAAAAAGATACAGAAGCAAATTGATTTTCCTTCTTGCTCCATTAATATTTTCCCTTATTTTATCCAGCTCTTTTTCCAATTTAATTGTTTACACGCAGATTTATTGTACCATAAGAACCTGAACCATTTCATGTCACATGGTACATTTTGATAATAGAAACATTCAATAGTAATATATTATATTGTTTAATGTAGTTTCAATCCTATTCTTCTTTCTTTATTTGAGCTTCTAGCTTTGTGATCCTAGTATAAGAATGTTGAAAAGAAACCTCTGCATTTGATCAGTATTTGCAAAAAAAAAAAAACAAAAAAAAAATAATCTGAATGGTTGTAGTGAAAAATGAATGGGAAGAGGAGGTAATTTGAACGAATCTCGTAATGTTGCGAGTTGATTAAAGTGAGAAACAAATGGTGTTTAAATAATTCACACGAATGGTTGATATTAAAATTAAGGTTAAACCTCTTCGGGAGTCTCTATTTATGTGGAATTTTCCTAGTTAGATCGGTTTTATCGATTTTGCCAATTTAATCCTTAAAAGTGAAAAATTGATTCAATTGGGCTCCTGCTGTTAAATTGGCTTAATGAAATTAAGTTTTTGATGACTTGGAATGTTGACGTGGACAATTTTTTAAACGTGGCAATCAGAGAGCTTTATACGTGGAATATATAATTAAAAAAAAATTCTGAAAATTGAAACCCAATGTTCATCGTCTTCAGCCTTACCAATCTAATGGCAGGCGTCGACAATGACCTCCACTATTAGGGTTGATTGGGCCTGCAGGTTCTCGGCAACGTCGAAGGGGGTGAAGCCCGGTTTGGCTAGTGTGTTTGAAGTTATCGATCCCCAAACCATCTTCCGATCCCATTCTCAATCCAACAACCCTAAATTCAGCGAACTCAGAGACACACTCCACTTGTTCCGAACCTTTCCCTGCTTCTCCATCCCAACCCAAACCTCCCCCTCCACTCTCCTTTTCATCCTTGTCGTCCCCAACTACCTTATTATTGATTTTATTTGAACAAAATTTTAAAAGATTAACTTGAAGAAAAACCATTAAAAAAATTAATTTTGAACCGTATGCAGAAACCGAAATATATTTGCATCAGAACTGGGACAACTAAGTTTATGAACATGCAAAACATCAAAGTTCTAAGTGAAGAATTAGATGAACAGGTCACTCAGAAGCAGGATTTGTTTATCACAGACTGCCTATCAGGATTAACTGTCCCCGCTAATTTCTAATCAATTTCACTGTACTGCTGATGCGATACTGCAAATGAGGGTTCAAGAGTTTGGTGTGGCTCATATTTTGGCTCAGTTGCTGCACAGGAGGAGAGTTCAACAAGCTTGAATCTTCAGTTACGCGAAAGACAGTAACTTGCAGCACAACTTCCACGTTTCAAAGTTGATTGGTGGAATTGTTGTTATAAGGCAGAGAAACTTCAAGACTTGATCGATTCTATTTCTCCCGTCAGAGGTGAATCAATCTTGATAACCTTTTCTCATTTCAATTTTTTTTTCTGTTTCCGAACATTTCAAATGATAATCAAAGTTTAGGCAGAGGTGTGCCATATTTTGTTTTTGCAATCCATGGAGTATTCAGAGTATGCAGAAGTTGTTGGGACTCCTCGTCTAGGGTATTGAAGAAGATTATTGAAGAAGATACAGAGTATGAGATTGGAAGAAGAGGCGACAAAGTATGGTTTGCGTTTAGGTTTCTTGTTTAGGGTTCTTCAGGTTGTGAAATTTGGGATTTCTATGCAAGTTTATGTGAGGCCTGATTGAAATGTAATTTGGAATTAATTTTTGGATTTCTTCTCACAGGTTTGATGCATGGGGAAGAAGATTTCTGGGTGATGGACATGGAAGAGGATTTCTGAGTGGTGCTTCATTGTAATGGGAGATGACCTTTTTTTTTAAATTTTTTAATCAAACATTTTTCACGTCAAACTTAAGAAATTCCACGTAACATCACGTAAGTGATCAAAAACTTAACTCCGTTAAGTCAATTTAACGACAGAGATCCAATTGAGTCAATTTTTCACTTTTAAGGACTAAATTGACGAAACCGATAAGACGAAGATCTAACCGGAAAAAACCAACATAGATAGAGACTTCCGAAGGGTTTAACCTAAAATTAATTAAAGCAAATATATTATGCATGATGTTTTATTTTATAAAGTATGTATTAAAGTTCCAAAAAATAGAGTAATATGTAGTTTTAGCAAATTATAGCGTATTCCTTTGTTTTAGGGATTCATCTTTTGATCATGCAAAATCCCTCCGAAATCTATAATGTCGTAACACTCCCACTCATTGTTTCTTTAGGAGATTTTGTTAAACACAAAGTCGTTATTTCATATACAAATAGTTGTTTAATATTTTTTTTCTCGCGTTGTAACTAAAATAAAATAGGAAAAGTATCTCCCATGTTTGAATTTCTTAGAAGGAAACACTCGTAACGTTCGAAGGAGCTATATGTGAATAATTTTATATATGAAAACACATTAAAAAATATTTTAGATATGAAAATGAATTAAATAGTTTATATATATTTTTTCCATTAATCTACTGAAATATCTTTTATCAAAATAATCGTCATGAAATGTCGAGTTTTAAAACAATTTTGAATATGTTTCACATGAAGATAAGGATAGGATAACTCTTGTTTATTTTAGGTTTAATCCTTTTTTACGTCCCTATTTGTGTAGGAATGTCTCAGATAGGTCCTCGTTTTTTAAAGTGTATCAAAATGGTCCTTAATTTTGAAAATTGATATCAATTGAGTCCTTTCCGTTAAGTTGGCTGGACGGCGTTAAAAAAATTGATGAGTGGGATGCTGAGATGACGAACGAACGCTCGTCCACCACCGAACGAACGCTCGTCCACCAGCGAACGAACGCTCGGCGACCACCGAACGAACGGTCGTCCAGTGTGGAACGAACGGTCGTCCAGCGGTAAGAGGTCGACGAGCGTTCGTTCGCTGGTGGACGAGCGTTCGTTCGCTGGTGGACGAGCGTTCGTTCGTC